ACCCACCCACAGATAGGTCTCAGGATCCGCCACTGGTATTGTAATCGGAGGTCTAGGGTTCAAACACGGATTTGGTCCCGTTCCACATTTCTCACTTCTCTTCACTCGCTTCATTTTTTTTTTTTTTTTTTTTTTAATTATTAAAATAAAAAAATCCGCAAATTATGGAGTTCTTTACAGAAATGATTTTAAATCAATTAAGCTTTTGTCATGTAAAACAACTTCTTATTCAAGGTTACAGTGTACGGCAGAGGTACATGAATCCTGAAAGAGAAACATTGTGATGACTAGGAAACGTCTGTCGGAGTATCTTGTTTGGGAGGCGATAAATTGGCCTAGCCGTCCCAGACAGTGACGAGAGTAGTGGGAATATTGACGTTTTACAAGGCGAATCAGACAAAGCACCGCACCAATGGCCGACTTTGATACACAAACAAGTTCATATAATTTCAAATGCTACATAAACTGTTTATCTAAGTACCATAAACATCCCTTAGGCATTGTCGGAGGAAGTACAATAAACATTTAGACAGACTTTTCACCCTTACAAATAATACACTATGGTATATATATTGTGTTTTTTCCACTGCTCATTCACGAAATCTACACAATTCTCTGCAACAATGTGTACTGTATTACAGTATTACTAATTGATGAAATAACTAGATAATTAGATGAGTTCTCTTGTTAAGTACTACATTAAAATCAGAATATCAAGCAATGAAAATAAATCACATGGAAACGAAATCCTTAAGCTACAAGGTTAAACCTAAGATCTCGTTATAAATGGCGGAGGTCCAAGTTTAACACATATGCTGGTATGGGGTATTTCTGGTATGAGGTGAGTTCGTTTCGATTGAAAAGTGCACATACCTAATTCGCTTAAATATATTTTGTTCTTGGGCCAAAACACACATAATCTTATGTGACAGGTATTTTATTTTTAAAGTAAGATAAAAGTGGCGTGATTCGTAATTATAGATTTCATTAAAAATCGAAAATACGAAATAGTTTCTGTACATTGCTGAGCTCATTACACGTCACTATAGAGTAACAGGTATACTTTATCAAGCCTTTGGTAAATTGAAAAATCCGTCCAATGTTTAGCATTATAGATGATATTCCGCCACCCGCTTCAACACCGCTAAGGTAAAGAGTATGACATCTGTATGTGCCTATATGACTGACAACTGGCGAGGTCATCCGAGATTGCGTTGATAAGTACAATCTCGGTCCACATGACACTTTACATAAATGGACCTACACTTTTAAACTCTTAATCATCTACACACTGACTGGGTTTTATATCTAAGCCAACAACACACCGAATGTTAAGTACCTAGCTCGAAATCGATAAATTCCAAGACAACCCCGATATATCCATGGCGGGGGCGATGAGGTGTTCCGAGTGTTCAATACTAGACTGTGCACACACAAAACTCCTGATCACGTCTGCAGCGGAATTACTTTTGTCAAAAAGAAACTCTGAGGGTTGGGGTGGGGTGTTAATTAAGCGTTATTTTTGTCAACCTCTAAGAATTTTGAGGAGTGGTGTTAAAAATCGGAGATTCTAGACAGATCACATGATCAATAAGTGAAAAGTCACTTTTTTCATTTTTTATT